TGATAGATATTGAGGTTTTAAATTACTGAAAGGTTAAAATAATTTGTCTAAGATTTGGTTTGGGATTTAGGATTTGTTTAGGATTTAGAATTTGTTTAGGATTTGATTTAGAATTTAGTTAGGATTTGATCTATGATTTAATTTAGATCCATTAAGGTTTCAATTTTGAATACAATAATATTTGATTATTATTTATTTAAGATTTACTTAATATTTTTTTAGGATTTCTTTTGAATTTCTTTTGGATTTTTTTAGGAATTCTTTAAGATCTACTTATTTTTATAATTTCTTTATAAATTATTTAGAAGATCTTCAAGATTTCTTCATGTTTCTTTTGTAATTTTTTTAAGATTTTTTTGGATTTGATTAAAAATTGATTAGAATTATAAAGGTTTAATTGGAGTTTATTTAAGATTTTATTAGAGATTTTAGAATCTTATTGTAATTTTTCTTCTACCTTCCACATCCAAGTGCCTAGTATATACTTCAGTAAGACTTCATATAATACAAAAATGTATATATATCATCCTTTCTATACATCTATATTTTTTATTATAATCAATACTTCCATGACTATTACAAGTATGAATTTGTAATATTTTTATATTATCATTGACTATAATGGGAAGTCGATGTGCAAATTTTTGCAATACCATATTTTGATGCTTATAACTTAAAACTTTGATAAATTTAAGAATAAAAATTATTATATCAATATATTTTTTTATTTTTATATATAAAAAAGTAAGTCCTTATAAATCTATAACTTAGATCTATATTTGGATTTTTATTATATTTTTTGTGCTATGAATTGTTAAGCAACATTAATTAAATTTCTATAAATATTTTTTTATTTGTAGAATTGAAGTTGGTAAGAAATGATTCTTTATAACTATAAAAATTATAAATTCAAAGGTTATTAAAGAGACTAATAAGTTTGTACTACTTGTTTCTAAAAGTAAATGGCAAAGATAGTATATATTGGCATTGATGAAAAAAACTCATAAAAGTCTTTAAAAAATTTATTACAATATTTTATGTCTATTTCACCCTTTAAGTTTCTTTTGCAATTGTTGCTTTTTAGTAAAATTTTACCTATTATATTAGTTTCATATGAAATAGTAATACTTCAAGAATTAATATTATATTATCATTTTTTGATGTTGAATCTTACTTTGATATTGTATTGGCACCTATAAAACTTTTGATATCATTATATTGTTAATATTATTATTATTTTGCCTATTTTAGCAATATTTTTACATTTATAAGATAATAAAGATGATACAAATAAAAAAAAATATACAACAAAAGGAGGATAATGGACTTAGAAGAAAAATTTAATTGATGTCAATGCAATAAGAACAAATATAAGTAGATGGATAGTATACACAATGTGCACCTTTCTATCTAACTTTTGTAATAGCTTCAATACAAAGTGTACAAAAGTGAGTCGGTTCTAGAATGATTATGAGAAAATTATAGGAGTTAATCAAAAGAACATGATTTCTTCTAACCATCAATAACTTGAAAAAGAAAAAGATGATGTCTAAGGCAATTCTTTATTAGAGACCAAAATGAACAATATGTATAGATTGGTTGTATATAAATTGATAGAAGATTTTGGTCAATATCAAAAGATAGAAGTGAAGTTCTTTTTGAGGCTATTGATAGAGCTTAGCAAGGAAATCATTAAGAATTTTAGACATCGTGACTTTTGTCTTCAATACATTAGTAATGGCATAGCCATTATAAAAAGAATTGACTATTATTTGATATAATACTTTATGAATGCCAAAAATATTATTGGACAAGCGTAAATTAACAAACTTATGATTAATTTTGTGCAAAATAGTTTATATGATAAGTAAATATTTATTCAAAAAGAAAAAACTTCTTTGTATTTTTTTTAAAAAAATAAATACCTTTTTGAAATTAATTACATAAGGCAAAAAAGGTGTTAAGACATAAAATATTACTAACATTGATTGTTGGATGATCTATGGTTGACGGATCTCAAATTTGATTTAAATACAAGTTTTATTTAAAAATAATAATAATTAAAAATTTAGTTGAAAATATTTATAAATTATATTTTATAATTAACATAGAGAATGATAAGACTCTTGACTTTTAAGGTGATAACAGTATCAAGTATGCAAATATTACATTTGGAAAGATGAGCATGACAATGATTATTTGTATAACTAATAGTCAGTATTCAACAATATAATCTTCTAAAATAAAAATTACTCTAACATAATTCAAGGCGGACATTTTTTATATATCTTATTGATTAGCTAAGAAAGGCTTTAGCATTAAAGATATGTGGCTATAGTGACTTAAAAAATCCCATACTTAGTAACACAATATTTCTATCAACAACATGCCTAGAGCATGGATTATCTATATCGATAATTATAATATGCACAATGATAGTTAAAAGATTTATAAATTCTTTTCAATATTGAAGCTAACATTTTTAAGCTTATAGCATGAATAATTAATAAAATCCAATATTACAATAACTTTATAATATCTAAGATTTAAGATAGTTGCTTAAATTTTTTAGAGCAGTACAAATTTAAGGCCATAAAGGACATCAATTGAGCAAATGTGTCAAAATCCATTAAAAACCCTTATAAGACATACTTTTTAAAGTTCACGATAGAAGCAATGAAGCATATTAATGCAATGAAAGATGAAAAAAACCTTATGTATGCTTGCAATGTTATGATCTACTATGATATTTTTCTTAACATGATTGAGAAGTAGCATATCAAATAACTCTTGTTAAAACTATAATTAATTATAACCAAGCACAAACTTTACTTTGATAGTGAAGTTGTATTATTTTTTTGTACACAATAATAATATATTATTTTTTATTTTTTTATTTTTTTTTTTAAAAAATCTTCTAATCACTAAATCTTGTACATGGTAATGCAATTGATATGACTTTACATTTTATGTGTCTTTGTTGGTAGTTTACATTATTATTTTATTTATTTTTATTTATTTTTTTAATAAAGAAGGATTTGCTTTGTATTAAATATGGAGAAAGATGATGAAGTATTTGATTTGGGCCATTATATAGTATGAATAAGAAATAATAATACTTATTGTGCTCAAAGAAGTAAGGACATATTTTGTTTGTAGAGGCATGAATAAAAAGAAGGAAAAAAATATGATAGTGATGGGAATAGAAAAGATGTTGTTTATAGTTAGATTTTGACAAATTTACATTATGGTAATCATTGTAGCTTCTAAAAATTGCTCAAGTTTTTATGATATGAAGACAATGAACAATATGTGACTACTAAAAAAATTGCCAAAAGAGATTGATAAAAGTATTAAGGTGATGAAAGAACTACTTTTGGAGAACACCAATACAAAAGCCAATACAGAGATTGTTGCAAAGGTCATTTTAGAAGCATGCAAAATTGATGTCTTAGAGCTTATGGTACAAAAGATTCAACAATACAGGTATTTAGGAGATGGATACTAAGAATGAGAATGAGGGTTCTAAATGGAAGAAATAAGGATGAAGGATAGGAGGTATAATGATGGTTTTGATAAATAGGTTGATTTAATAAAAGTTGGGATCAATTTAACATTCTATATTAAAAAAAAAATCAAATAAACAAAAAATATTTTTCTAAGAAATATAATGTCAAAGTAACTGTTTATATCTACACACAACAAGAGTAATATTAATTTATTATATTTTTTAAATCTATAGATAATTTTTTATTATTAATTTGGCCCCAAAAACCATCTCTGAAGGATATGAAGGATAGGTGAACAATTACAACGTCATGATGTGAACGTTTTTAACGTAACAAATAGCCTTAAAGGTAAAGGCAAAGTACATTTGTTTCCTCGACAATCTATTATTGTTATGAGTTTGTTTGTGGAAAATAGTACAAGCAAAGGCACTTCCAAGTGAAGGAGAGTGCTGTGGTCCATCCAGGTGGCAGAAGGACCGTCAACTCTCTTATTACCCACGATAATACAGTACCCGACGGAATATTTCGACGGAGGAAACCACCCACTTTTCCTTCAGATAGACGATACAAAGGCCACATGCTGAACGTGGGACATCTCTTCGTCCCAATGCACGCTTACGTTTCTATTTGTGTTCACGTTCATATTAAATATCGTCCACCAGGGCATGGGACTCATTCAAAAAAGTACTTTGCGAATGAACGGAGACCGCGGTGATCTTTTGAGGAACAATAACCGTGTTTCATCGACGGAGAACCTCGTGCGTTCGTTCACTCGTTTCAGAACCGTGTGACCAGGTTCATTGCACCCCACCCAGGTCAATCGCCAGTAAAATATCCACAATTCACCCATACCTCGCCGCTCACGCGCGGCATGACCAGATTCATTTCACTACCCCAGCAGGGTATCAATCGAGCCAAGGTAGCAGAGGATGCTGGGAGTGTGCTCTGTGCGTGTGAGTGGTTGAGCGGAGGAACGCAATAGGAACAGTCCAGGATGCAGGGAAAAGAATGTGGAAAAGGAGCCACAAGTGGGGGGAACAAAAGGGGAACCAAGGACAGCAGCAGGCCAAGAGTGACTCCGAGTGCGGCGCCGGGCATAGGGTTTGGTGCCAACTTCGCCACATCCATCCATCCATCCACCCTCGTTGATGCGTTCATTCATCTCTCTTTCGTCCATCTGCGCCTAGGGACCAATGCCCAGATTAACCACAACCTAATTCTGCTGTGGTGCAGATTGCTGGTACTCATCGCTCTAACATATAATATTGCTATATCGGCCAATTCGCCAAGTAGAATTTCTATTAATAAATTAGCAAATTACAACGAAATCGGTTTAAAAATCCTCCAATACAGGTATTTAGGGCGAAGGGCTAAGCATCCATGGTCGGCAGTTTGTTGTTTTTCGTCACTATAGTTTCATCCAATGACAAACGATCGTCCTAGTATCGTCAAAGTTCCGTCTGTTGCGATAGCCACACAGGGTCGTACATGGGAAACAGGCTTTGTGTTTTTTGTTGTCCAAGCTGCGTGGTGCCGGTGAAGGTGGAGGACGAGAGGGGGTTGTGTTAGCTCTCTGCGGCACGGCGTAGGCTGGCCACACAGCGAGGCGACCACCGAATTCTTTCCCGTCTCGAATCCGCTGCACAGATCCCGGTGGGAGAGTAGCGGGGGATTCTGCTCATTTGACTTCGCCTTGCCGATTTCTGGTCATACTTTCCTGCTTGTAGAGCGGTCGACTCTGTTGTCTTCGCGCGTCTTGTCGTGGAGCTCTCACTCCATTCTGGTGGCGGATTTGTCACGTTGTACTGCATCGTTGGAGATAGCGGCGGTCGGGACAAGCGCTTCCTTGTAGCATGCGCTTGGGGTTGGTGCCAACCTGGAAGTTGCATTGCTCTCACAATGCAAATATAGCTTTGCACCAATCCCAAATGTCTTTAGAGTCTCTCTCGCTCCCTTCATATCTACCCGTCTCATGTGCGAGTCTTCTCTTGAAAGAGTCGGGATCGACATTTAGAGCGAGTCCCGAGGGGAGTTTTTTCAGACTGCTATTCAAAGAGAGACATTACTACATGATCTGACTATACCTCCTCCCCTCAGTTGCGCAGAATCAACAAGGGTATATTTTGCTAGTTGATTTTGAGACTCTCACCTACCAGATCCGATCTCTTTGCGTGTCTATCTATACCTGAAGCTCCTTTCAACTCTCACTTTCCGGGTGTCTGGTATTTGTCGCTTTCCCGGATAATTGTCTTTCTTTCTACCTAAAGAATCCTCGAGTCTTTTCTTCTGACAAATTGTCGCAGAGTCTTGGCGGCTAAGCCAGGTCTTTGAGAGAGCTTGAAGCTACTCCACTGTATCAAGCACTTTCCGAGGTTATATACAGGTAATGATTCTCTTTGAAGTACCTTAGCACATTTTAAGTCGTTCTGATGTTAGCCCCACCTGCACGGCGAGATAAAAAGTTTCAATGTTTTGCTCTGCCCATAGGCTTAAAATGACGTTCCAAGGAGGCGGGATGCTGTCCATTTCTGCTATGTGACATTATGTTCCCAGCTGTTTCTCTCCTGCGTAACTTTTAGCATGCTAAGCGAGGAATTCAGCAGGATGAGATGAAAGTGAGTGGTGCAATCGAGGGGATGCTTCAGTACTTGAATTCTCCTGGCTTCACATCATTGAAATGTAACTGATTAAGATGTTGTGGAACTTGTGGATGTACTTAGGTTCGAAAATATGGTGCTCTGGGTTTTTGGCTACGGCTCTCTGATATGGAATACGGGTTTTGAGTATGACGAGCGTGTGGTTGGGTTCGTTAAAAGCTTCAAACGTGTTTTCAATCAAGGTAGCGTATGAACCATATTGTGTTAGGGAAATGATCTCTGTAATGAGGGATCTCGTCTGGGTTAGTTGGCGCATTAATGTAATGCAATTTCTCTCAAAAAGCTTATGTCAAGGGACATAGGTGACCCTCATGACATATTTAGTTAAATATATCTCAAAACTTCGTATAATCCATACTTCAGTGATTGTGATATTTCTTTTAGTGAACGGGCTCGTTACCCGCAACGAGCAGCAGCTTGGTCTATAATCATTTTTTCCACCAATTTTTTATTTACATTTATTGTTTATTATTATTTTTGGTTCCTCCTTCTCTGTCGCATGTTCTAACACTTCAGTCCTGTATGTCGAGAGTTTACATTTCTAATACCTTCGAGTGAGGTCAACATTGTATGTGCTGAGGAGGGTAATTCTGAACAGGGATTTCATGCTGTCATGCTTTGTTTTTGCAGCCAGCACTGATCACCGAGGTACACCTGAGTACCCTGGACGGACGGTCACACTGGAGCCACATGAAGGTGGACGAACGTCGGGCTGTGCTTACAAGATCTCAGGCTATGAGGCTGAACAGCTAGTACTCTCGGTAAGACAAACCGTGCTTCAGAATGTGCTGCTAGTTAGGAATGTATACTGATTCAGCGTTGTGCACATTTCACTTTCTTGTCGCGAGTTTCTGTGTTTTATATCATACTTTCAAACTTTTATGGGTGCAGTATCTTGCAATACGAGAGTTCGAGTACGATATACAAACTTTTGTTGATTTTTACACTGAGGAGTCTCCCAACAAGCCAGTGATTACGGGAGTTCTTGTGTACATTGGATCTCCCGACGTATCAAAGAACCCTTATTACTTGGGCCCAGCTCCCCTCCAAGACATGGCTAACCAAATAGCCACGGCTAGAGGTCCAGCTGGTCCAAACTACGAGTACTTGTTTCGGCTAGAAGAATCTCTGTACGAAATTGGTAAGTCCTCGCTCTGTCAAGCGGGTTTGAGCCGGTTCTGCTAAGCCAGTCTTATTGTTAGGATTCGAATGTGCTACACTTGGCTCTGTAATGGAATTATAAGGTGTTCTGTGCATGGTCCTGCAGGTTGCGAGGATAATTACATTATTGCGCTTGCCAACGAGGTCCGGAAGGTGTTAAATGAGTATGGGTGGCTGCTACAAGATTTTGAGGATGTAAAGTTGCGACAATCTCTGGAGGATGGGAAGCTACTTACGACGTACGAGAAGAGTTTTGACAATCGACAGCTGTTACAGAAATGCGTGAGGATTGTTTCATAGCACCAGCACGGTCATTCTTTGGTAGTGGACTTAAGCCTGAAAAAATAAAACTTTCACTTCCTATACTAGGATGAAAGACTTGTCACCTATTTTACCATCACTGTTCCTAACTTTTTGCTAGGAGCAGTGCTCATTGAAACCGGCAGAGTTTCCCCAGGAACAATGGTGTGTGGCCTCAATAGTGGCTAAATAGTGGCTAAATGTACGAGTCAACCACCTAATCTCTAACCTACTTGACATTGGACTTGTTAGTGTGTCACTGAAGCTCAAAAGCTTCCGTTGCCGTGTACCACAACCATTAACCTCATTATTTACCCATCATTTTTATTTTTGGGGAGAAATTTAACTCGCCGTGCCCTCTGGGCTCGCTCTCTTTTTCTCTCTCTCGCTCTTGTTTCGCCCAGTAGTCAAGCATATTTGCACGTCATTGGCCGCATTTTGTTGGCTCTTAGTTCACAGAGCAAGGTCTTGTCGTCGGATAAGGTGGATATCATTTTTGAACAGTTTTCTAGACGTGAGTGTCTCTGGTAGAGAAATGGTTTTCTTTCTCTACATTGCCGTAGACTACATTTCCGCATGTTATATTTATCAATCAGCTTGCGGAGCAATCATTTATCTTATGGACTTTTATATCTCAAAACCTTATTACAAGAATCCCTCCACAGCTGGAATCAGGTGAACTTGGTCTATGTCAACCCCGCATTTCAGGTACATTCCTAATTTCAAGTTGCATTCAAGTTCGTGATAGCAACAAAATCTACCTACTAAGTTCCAGTTCAACGACAAGAAAAAAGCAGCTCAATGCCACTGATCTTCGAGAACTGTCTCCTGCTTGAGCACTACAGTGATTGATGTCATCAATCCACCTTCATGTGCAGTACAAATTTCTGAACTTTTGGGCTGAGTATATATTTCAACGAATATTTCACACCATTTCTTATTTAAAATTATTGTACTCAAGTAAATAGAAAATAGATGAATTATACCGTTTTCTCAGTAAATTATACCGTTTACGGTAAAGTGTCATTACAGTTCTTATTTTGATTAATGAAATAGGAACTGAATCAAATACACCGAACTCTGGCTGAGAAGATTTATCAAAAAAAAATTGTATTTCTTATATAGTGGAAACCCATCACAGGTACTAAAATTACTATGACAGCAGTGAGTAAATTTACTCGTTACAAATGATATAAGTCATGGTGACAATTACTAAGGTTATTCAAATTGCTTATCTTTATCTCAACATAATTACAACGTTACACATAATTCTACTGTAATCTATAAGTATTCAACAGAACAAAGTTCAATGTTTTTAGCACACATTTTGAATGTGTGTTTGCATGTGTGTGTATACACACATAGACCCACTTCCATTGCATAGGAAAAAAAAACATGGCTTAACAAAGTGACGAACTGGTTACAAACAACCTACTTTAAATTAGAGCTTTTAGCAAAAAAATCCTAATTTCCCTAGAATAAGGTTTAGAAAATGTCCTAAAATAAGGACTCAATGGTATTCCTTTGTATGGTGGAAGAGGTGCCTCATGATGCAATTTGCAATTACAGAAGTTATGTTGTGGTGTGCATGTCAAATTCATCATGGTGTAGTTATAGATCCCTTGAAAACCTTTGTGGGGATGAAGTTCGATCTTGTGCCGAATCTATGAGATGAGAAAAGAGATCAAGTGGTCTCTATGCAATGCTTGTTCTATGAGAAGCTCAACCATGAAGAGGTTGATCTCACAGGGCATAAGCAAAAGCAAACAAGCAATGTGAATTTTTTTACGATTTTGTTCCATGCTACAACATCACCTCGCACATGAAGTCGCAACATGCAAAGGCATAGGTAGAGAACAATGTTCTTCTGGATACCTCAAAGAAGTAGTTGTTCCAAAAAGTGAATTTCAAAAACACTCTCGCAACTTATTTTGACTTCAAGAAGGCACTCACATTCACAATCAATTGAGACATTATTGATGTGGTTATTGATGACATGTTGTTTAATGCCAATGATAAAGAATTTGTGCCAACACATGAATGGGCATTATCAATTTTCAAGTTATTCAAAGATGCAAACAATGAAGAAGTTGAGCCCAATAGAGAGTAGGATCTGAACTACAAAGTGTATAAGGTGGAGATCAAATCTTTGTGCCTATTCTGTCTCGTGATCAACTTTGCCTAGTGTAGAACTTTGTTTTGAATGGCAACACATCTTTTGGATGTCACCAAGACTATATTGCACATGAGTTGCTTTAGTGGATGCAGTCAAGATTGTGAAACATCATTTGTAAGGGTGGTTTATGGTCTAAGTTTACAGAAGATCATAGAGCTCTTCTGTATCCAATGGGCTTCTAAATTCAATTTGAGTATCAATCAAAGCTACACAACCTCCACTTTCTTGCAATACCTTTTTTCAATCACAAAACAACCAAAGTAATTTTTGCAATAGGTTTGAAACTACTGTATGTTGTTGCTCCAAAATTGAGGATACAATTCATTGGAATTAGCATAAATAGAAAGCAAACAATATTGAAGCAACTTTTTGGCATTGTGATGAGGATGGTCAAGGTGGCTGCTCATAGACTTATGCAAGTGTGGTGTGCTCTCCATCAACTTGACCTTGTAGTGTAAGCTAAGTATATCAAGTTGTATAATAATTAGTTCATTAATAGCTTAATATTGCTTCATCTCTTACCTTTGCCAACAATTTGATCTCTTTAGAAGGGTAGGTTGTACATATCTAAAATTCATAATTATGTGGTGATTGTCCATTAAAAAATTTCTAGGTTTTTGTAGCAAGGATGCATAGCAATTTATGAGTATCTTGGATAGAAGCAACTTGCATGTACTCCCTTTCTTCCCTTTCTGGGAAATAATACTTCTTACTCTCAACAACATTGTGGATATAATCTCTACCATTTTGACACAGTTGCAAGGACTTAGTACCCATTCAAATCAATAAAAAACCCAACTCAAAGAATTGATTCAATTGTTGGTCTCATTATATAAAGTACAAGATCCGCTATTATATTACATGTATTCTTACTTGAGAATGCATTGGGCACCTAATTGTGAAAGGTAAATAGAGCGCAACAACAATCCTACCAAGTTCAATAGGGACTTAAATAAAATTTAAGTAATCTTAAATAATCCTAATCCAAACTTTAATCAATCCAAGTAAATTTTTAAAAAATTACAAAAGAAATATAAAGAAGTCATAAATTATCTAAAAACAATATAATAAAAAATACTAAATATATATATATATATATATATATATATATTAAAAATAAAAATAATATTCAAAAAATATTATAAATAAAAAATAAAAAATAAAAAATCTTAAATAAATATTATAAATATAAAATTAAAAATAACAAAAAATCTTAAATAAATATTAAAAATAGAAATTCTAAATAAATCTTAATTTAATCCTAATTAATTCTAATTAATCTTAATTAAAATCTTAATGAATCTTAATCAATTTTTAATTAAATCTTAATCAAATCCTAATAAAAATCCTAATTGAAATTCTAATTGAAATCCTAATCAAAATCTTAATGAACCATAATCAAATCTTAGATCAAATCCTAATGAAATCCTAATAAAACTCTAAATCTTAATCAAATTCTAAATCCTAAATCAACTCTAATGAAGTCCTAGTAAAACACTAAATCCTAAACCAATCCTAAACCAACCCTAAATAAAACCTATCCAAATCTTAAACCTTAAACAAATCCTTTACAAACCCTATAACAAATTGAAAATTCAATAATTATCAATTGAATTGTTGATTTTGATTCAAATTTTTTAATTTTTGCAAAAACAAAGTTAGCAACAAGCACAAAAGTTTTGAAGAAGATTGCACATATCAAATAGATGATAATCTCTAAACTCCACTTGAATATCAACAAACATCTTTCTTCAACCTTGATGTTGATGTTCCAAAGTTACAATCTCTTAATTTCATTGTTTAATTGGTCCCAAACTTTAAAAAATTATTAGAAGTCAAGCCAACTACTATTAAGAAAAAGTTAACATCAATCCAATTGGCAAATTGACAAATGTCTTGGAAACTCTCATTGATTACTTATCTCATTTACTTTAATTTGAGGCATTTAAGCCCATAAAAAGTAAATAAAAGTCTATTCTACAAAAGATAGTATTAAGACTAAATTTTTTACTACCTATCATTTATCCTTATTTTTCTACTACATCTTTTTACTTCATTCGTCTATAATAACATCCATATTTTTATTTTTCACCATATAGTGGTGTTATCACATGACATTGCATAATGCAAAGACTTTGGCCATGGTTTAAGGTGCTCCAAACTTGATCATTTGTAAATCTTTGCATGTAGCTCTCTCACAAGTGTGGAGGCTTTTATTTAAGATCAAGGCACCTTTGCAATAAGCACCTTGACTTTGTTGCCTACACCTAAGATTGAAATTGTGGTTTATTTGGTGGTGGCCTTATTTGTTGGTTTCATTGACAACATTGTATCCATTGTTTTTTAATGTAATTGCAACAATAATGCCAACAATGAGGATATTTCAAAAAAAAATTTCAACAATTTCTATAGGCTACAAATGTCTCAATTGTCCATCCCCATCGGAAGATACATGATACACTTGGAATAGAACACTCAATTAATCAAGAATATTGAGAACAACTACTAAGCCATGGTACTTGCCTACCACAAGGAGATTACCTTTTAAGGACACAATTGACAAGTGCTCTAATTCATGGACAAAATTTTACATCAAATGGACTCATTGCAATGGCCAGTTTCTACAACTTCAAAGATTTTGTGGCAAGGTAGCCTCCATTTTTCAACATTCGAAACAGTTCGACAGAGTCTATCGAATTTGACATAAATAGATGATTTTAGATAGCTCCGTAGATGACTCTCATCCATCCCTAGTTTATCTAGTTTAAACTAGGGATGGATGAGATGAGGAACTGCCTAGTTCAGTTATAAACTATCTTATTGAAATTAAAATTTTTATGAACAAGTGAAATAAAATCATATATGTTTCTACTCGCACTTAGAGACACATCCCAAAATCAATCAGCTGTTTCGGACTGTACAAAACAGAAAAATAATTCATGGTATATGTTAAAAATGGTAATTAGGCTTGGTGTAGAAGCAAGGGTATTTGTTTATAAACGAAATTATTGAAATCAACATGTACTTGATCAGACAGAGGTCATTGGATGTTTTATCCCAGTACTCGTCAGGAAGGAACGTTAACTGAGGGTCAAGCGAAACATTGCCAGTTTGCAAACAATGTGCAGAATGCAAGGCTTGGAAGTACAAACGGCTCTAATTGTGTTTAAGTAGTTCGGTTTGTAAGGATCAGCTGCTTAGGATTAATACAGCACACGCGTAGATTGTGAGATGATCAACAGCACAATCGGCGAAAGCAGACGGAAAGAATCCTTCCTCTTTATTTCATGGAAAAACCGAGCTGTAAAACGAAAAGCTCAACAATGCATTACACCGTGGTTTATTCTCCGCATGGAGCTTAAGATCTACTGTTTGAAGTTGATAATCAATGACATACAGAACCCTCACTTTTGCTAATCTGTACACAAATGCTTTCAGCCTATGCATTCAAGGCACAACTGATGTATGCCTCGCGCCGTGGGCAAAATCGTTAGCCTGATGTGTGGGACTTCCACAACTCTGCCATACCAACGGAAACAATTTACGCGGCTTCACTAAATTGGGTCTCAAATGCGTTAGTTTACAACGACGCAAACTTGCGAGAGACATGCTTTACCATGCCATGCGGCTTGCGAAGAAGGCGAAAGCCATTCCCAAGATGGGAGCCAACATGGAAGGCATCAACGAGAAGGCGGCGGAAGATGGTGGTGGAGCGGGAGACTCGGCCTGAGCGTTGGCCATAGTTGCGACGCTTGATATGACAGCGATCGCCACCGCCGCGGACCTCATAACGTTGCTGCTGGATGCCATGATCTCGATCGATGAAATGATCTGAAACCAAAACGTACAAGGAGAGGTTAGTGGGATAATCCAAAGGTTGCTTTTACCCAGTTTGCAATATGATCACTCTGAACTCGGCATTGGACACAAAAACGAAGCGTGAAACCGACCAGTTTCTAATTATGCTTAAGCGTTATTATCGGCTGCATTCGTCAGTCAAACTCCACAACCTGTTTAAGGATCGAATCAAAGCCATAAGGGAGTAACGGAAGCCTGACAACCGCACTCAACGTCCAAGCCCTAAAAACTTTTCAGAAAGTTCGGAAGCCGCCCAAAACTAACGAGAAACTTTCGCGAGGAGCCTCAAGGTTTGCATGAGTCACGGAATCGGACGAGAATGCGCTGAATTGAAATGATCTGTAAGTTTGAGGCAAGATCCGCTCCCAATGTCTGCTAAGACAATCTCATGCCTGCCTAGAAACTGTAATAAAAAATTCTGGGGGGGGGGGGGGGCTAGAGGGCACGAAAACCCACGGATCCCAGCGAAGCAACACTAAACTGTAAAAGCGTCTTACGCATGACCAGCGGAAGAAGCAAAGTCTGAAGCCAAGATTGCTACCGTAAATGCACTGCACTCATCGCATGAAAAAAAATAAAACTAGAACAGACATCAAGGATACCTTTGCGCAAGGCTGCAGGAGAAGACGTAGCGGTAACTTAGCAGCTCAAGCCTTGGATTGAGAACACAAATAGTAGACGTGAGTAGAAGTTTGCGCAAGGTTTATACAACGTAGAGACTCAACTCAATCGTTTTGTTGTGTACGAGCTGAGTGCAAGGTGTGGAAGAGTCAGGTATATAAAGGGCTGTCAGTCCCGCACTGCATTTCTGGCTCCTCTCTGGCTCCCACCTTCCTCAGATCTTTTCTCCGTGGCCACCTGTGCACCAGCCAGCTTGTCCTAGAACTTGCGGAAACGGTCAAAAATTTCTACCCTCCGTTTCCCCTTCCCATTTTAGAATATGGCGCAACCATTCTAGGAACTTGCGAAAACCGAGTCACCTTGTCTTGCGTCTCACGGTATTGCACGGATTCATAGATAGATCTACTTGACGCGTCTGCGACTGTTTACTGGGAAAGTTACATAGTCTTCAAAGTGAGTTGCCATGGCATTTGCTTCAACACAGGCGCGGCCCCACAACGCGGACGTCCCTGGCATCAACATCAGTCGAAGCTAGCCTAAGATTTTTGTTGGGTTCTTAACAAGTTATGCAATTTAGTAGCCACAATGGGTCCTCTGCATCATTCGTGTAGCTTTTCGAAATCAGAGAGTTACCCCACACCCGCATGATTCCATTATCACAGCCACAAGCAGACTCTTTGTGTTGTGTTATTATTATATTCTTTTTCTCCCTTTTTTCCGCAAATACCTCACCAGCTTGCGTGACAACATTGTTACTGTGGCACTGAGATTGCCAACTGGCGAACACAACGTAACCAGTCTGGCATGCCACAATCGCGCTTCCACGTCGATAATAATATACAAATAAAGGAGTATGCAAGGTTGCCGAGGGCGGAGGCTACAATCCAGAACAAAACACACACAGCCCCCTCCTAGTGCATACGATGGCGAAAGTGTATAATGAAAGCTTGTCTTGTTGTGCAAATAATTGCATTGCACACCGTATCATAGCTGTCATCAGTTTCCGCTAGTGAATAAGGCTGACGATTCGATGACCCCTGCTTGCTGCTGCTGCATTTGTGTAGGCGAAGTGGGTTTGGTTCCGGCCGTGCGGCATGTACCAGACAGGTTCTATTCTCGTCGCACACCCCATCACTGGACACCGGAAAACGACGAAGAGCAAGACTGGCAACCGCCATCCCCATCCCCTGAACGAGTTCGACGAAGACTGGAACCTTGGATTCATGACCAAGCATAACAATTACTTCGTTGGGTTCGACGACGATGAAAAGTCATTTCAATGCGGTTGACGGGATTTCCACCTGCTTGTGAGGTAGTCAAACACGACATTCACTTTTCCCTTCCTTTCTCTATTTCTTCCTCTCTTTTCTCTTGCAAAGCTTTGAAACACAGGGTGGTGAAGTCAAGTCTTTCCTGAAGGGCTCTTCTCCGGTCCAGCCTCTTTCTGCGGTCAAGGCCTTGCGGTGAAATTATGGACCGGAGCTGCCTAACCCAAACGCGTTGGCCGAACATCGACATCGACATCGTCGTTGGTTCCTTTTTGCTATCGTCCTTTCTTTCTTCCTTTTTTAGTGTGTTTTGTTGTTTCTTTGTCTTCTCCCTTCGGCTGCTTTTCGCTGCAGCCGAAGGATCATGGCGGAACTATGGTGATGGTTGCGTGAATTTGGAAGCAGGAACTGCTGCATGAGGGAGATTGGTACCCTAAAACGAAATGAAAAGAGAAGCTACTTGAAACCCTAAAATGAAAAAACAAGGATAGAGACCCTTGTGACCAGGAAAACGAGAGATTTTCCATCGCATTTGAAAAATTCCAAGTCTGCCTCACTTTGGATTTTGGTCTTTCCCAACTTCGTTTCTATATATATATATATATCTGTATGTATGTATGTATGTATGTATGTATGTATGTATGTATGTATGTATGTATGTATCATTTTGTTCTTAAGATGACAATTTATCTTGTTTTAGATTTAATAAATTTGTCATGTAACATTGGGTAAAACAACAATAATAGTAATATATATATATATATATATTCTTAAAGTACATGTCTATATGAATATCTATTTTAAAAACGTGGTGATTTTGTTTCCTGAAAACTATATATTTAATATTGTAAGTTTTAAATATTTAACTTTAGATTTTTTTTTTTTTTTTTTTTTTTTTTTTCTAACAAGACATCAAAACTCATTTCTTACATTTTATGGTAGCTTTGTATAAAATAATATATTCAAAAAGTAAAAAGAAAATTGTACGATAGCTTAAATAACAATCAATATCAAATCATCTTGTAAATTTTATAACTACTTTTGGTGTTTTAAAAACTTTGGTAGATTGTGTTACATTAAATTTACTATGATATTTTAATTTAAATTTTTTTGATAGATATACCAGTAAAAAATCTAAATCATTATTTTTAAAGAATAATTATATATATTTTAACCATTAAGAGAATTATACTACTTAACAATATAAGTCTTTATAAGTAATGATTATATTTACTAAAACACATAAACAATAAATTTTATAGTTGATTTTGATTTTAGCCACGTAACAACCATATATATATACACACATATATATAAAAGAAAATTAATGCAAAAAATAATTGTAAGAAAAAAAAAAATTAAAAACTTAAAACAAAACCTAAAGCTGATATTCAATCATTGCATGGTAATAAAATGTACTATGTTTCAAATGTGGATTAGATACCTCAAATTATATTTACCACGTTCTTATTACAATATAATTTTTGATTTGGTTTTTTTAATCTACACAAGTATGTTTTTATCTTAATTTGACTTTCATTATAATTATTTAGTTTTTTAATTAATGTTTATTTTTAATTATTTTTTATTCAAGTATTTTTTTAAATATATAATAATGTTATATTAGGCATTATACAACAATATAATGTTCTTTGTTAGACACATGAATCTAAAAAGATTTATTAAAACATAATAAATTTATATATAATCAAAAAAGAAAAAGGAAAAAGAGAAAAATCAAAAAGAAGTATATTTAAAAGGATTAAAAATTCAAAATAAAACTAAGATATATAAAAAAAAAAAAAAAAAAAAAAAAGAAGAAGATTGGCAATGGTCTAATTTTTTTTTCTATAAAAATTACTTTATAAATATAGGACATGGTCCTAGCAGTCCCATATTAACTAATATAAGACAAATATTTTCTCACTAATAAAGGACATGAAAGAAGGCTTCAATTCTTGTGCATATGAAAGCTGCATAAGAAGACAACGTTGCATATAAAGCATAATAACTACTTGTTGTTGTCCTAGACTATATATTAGATTTCCTAATTGTCCTATGTTAAAATGGCAAAATAGGTGGACAATGTCTTACCTTTTAATAAAATATCCTAAATGAAAAGAGCGTATCTATGGATCAATTAATAAAATAATTATTTAGAAACTCTCTAATAACTAAAGAAATTATGAGTCATGTGTTTTCAAGACAATATTAAAAATTTTATGTTTTATTTTTTTAACAATAGACAAGTACATTAATTATATTTTTCTGTGTTCTTGAAATATATCTATAATATATTTATGATTTATTAAGTATTAGAAAGTGTTTGGAGAATCTATAAATATAATTATATGTCTAAACTTTTTAATTTCTAATTTGTAATACAATTTTTTATTCATGTTTCTTTTTTTGTCTTATTTTTCTTTTCTTTTCAAACACATCATATTTTTTGTTCTTTAGATAATTTTTTATCTATATATATTAGTAAAGTTGAATTGGTCAATACAATTTAAACTACATGATAAGAAATTAAAAAATTAGAATAATTTTTTTGAGCATATTAATGATTTATATAATTATTTCAAATCCATATTTTTTACTTAGAAAATAATTTGTATTTTTATAGGAAATTTGAGAACTTAATTATTTTTTTTAAAAGAATTACATCAATAAATATTTTAGAAAATCCTAAAAATAATTATGATTGGTTTTGATTTGTTTTTAATAGTAGTTAAATCTTTTCACAAAGGTCAATAATACAATAGCAAAGATAATGTTTTATTATAATATCTATTTATTTTTTCTTTTCTAATATATATTTTGATAGTTCATATTGTTTTTCTAGAATTATATTAAAATATTTATATGAATAAAAGAAAAAATATTTATACTATATATATATATACAAATATCTTTGTTCTAGAAAATTAACATTTAATTTTATATTAGCAAATAAAATAGTTCTTGCATAGCTATTTTTTAAAATAAATTAAAATAAAATACAAGTTTATTAGCCATTTATTTTTTAAGATTTATTTTTTATTTGAAGAAAAATAAAATAAAATAAAAATATTTACCAATAAAAAGATTTAATAATAAAAAGATTATTACGTTTCTTTGACTATGTAAATTTACTTCTATTAATATGATTATATGAACAACATCTCCAAAAAGTAAAAAATTGGATATTATTAAATTCTATATTTAAATAGTTAGTTTTTTATTACTAATATTATATAATATTTATCAAATATTTTTATCAAACCAAGATTAAAAGATTCTAAAATCTAATAAGAAAATATAAATATATATGGCTTTTTAGTGCTAAATAAATTTATTTTATATTATGAGGCAAATATTTACATAAGTGTACAATACTCTTATGAGTTATTAAATATAAAATAAAAAAATATGATTTTATTAGTAATCAATTTTTTTAATTAATTAATTAATTTTTTATTTTTTTTGTTTATTCTAATATTGTGTTTCTTCTTTAATCAATGTTAGAATTTAACTATATCATTATTATCAGATATTAATGTATTAGATGGTTAACTTAAGCCGTAATATAAATAAAATTACAAATAATAATTATATTATTTTGTTTAAATGCATAATTTTTTATATATAATTTATACCTTAAATTAAATCTATTTTTGACTTTTAATTATATATAATACATATGTGTGTGTATATATATACATACATACATATATATATATATTTGAAAATTAATAAAGCTTGATTTAGTTATTACTACTTTAAATTTAATCTTAACAAATTGCTAATAATTAAATAACAACAAAGACTTAGTGCAAGTTATTAAGATAAGGGCTAAGGTTTTGGATAGTAATTAAATTAAGAAGAATCCAAGAGTTGAATAAATAAAAATTAATAGGATAAATTTGATTTTTAATAAAATTTATTTATATCAAATTTAATTCCTCTTATATAAATAAAAAATACTAGAAATAAGAATCAATTTATTCCTCTTTTTTCATTGTATATAACCTTAATAAGATCAATTCTTGAAAGTTTAATTTATTTATTTCTTCAATAGGTTATGGACTTGTAAAAAATTTGCTTATTATTCTTAATGTTAAATAGAGTATTTGATGTTATAAAAAATGGATCATCTTGTTGTTATTGATGTTAGGATTTTGGATTTTGTAACATTTAAATCTACATCTAGAACTAAATTTACTTTTGCAATCATTAATAGTTGAGTTTATTTTTAATTTAGTATTTGTTTTATACCTTAAAGATATGATTTAAAAGCTTTGTGGTATATTTTCTTACTGAGAAAGATTTTTGGCAGACTAATTTTATAGTGTGAAATGTGAAAGAAGCTTGAAGTACTTAAAAATCTTTTGTGATATTAAAAAATGATTTGTAAGTATAGATATAATCTAAGAATAACACATTTAATATATAAAGTTTATATTATTCATAAAACTTGTGCAAAACCTTAGAAGTAATGTTAATGGTATTTTAACACATAAAATACTAATTATTTTTATAAAGATGGGATTTTGAGATTTTATTAAAACAACATATTTTTATTGATTTTCAAAGTGTTATGACTTATTTTTGTTTTATTTTTATATGTCTCTTCTTTAAACTTCGCTTCAAGTGAGAATAAAGACTTGGGTAAAAATTTAAAAACCTAGAAGTAATAATCTCTACCATTGAAATGGAAAAATCAACTTTTATTAATTGCTTTTAATCTTTGAGATATTTTACATGAAAGTTAAGAGCTTCCAATTATGTATGTTAATATAAAGAAGAAAGAAGAACATAAATATTATAAAAAGAAGGTGTATAAGTTCATTGATCCTAATATTGATTAAGCCAACTTTTCTCAGATTATTATGTGAAAAAGACTAATCAAAGTATAGAAGAGTCTTTGTAATATTTGTGAGAGGAAGGACTTATCTAAAATTTTCTACACAAAGATAATACTCTATACTTGTAAGATGGAAGAAGGTGAAGAATTCATTGCATATATTAATAAGATGAATATACTTGTAAACTAACTTACTATTACAAACAAGCATTTAGTAGATGTGGATGTTATGGCTTTGTTTATGAACTTGTTAAAATCCTACAACTATCTTAATATAACATTAAGATCCATCAAGATAAAATAACTTACAATATATTACACTACAATAAGATTTAGTTGTGAAAAAACCAAGAAAAAAGAATAAAAAACTAATAATAAAGATTTAAAACTTTATTCATGTAAATACAATAATAGCTACTTAAATCTAGGAAGTATTATTAAAACTTTTTCCATTCATAGCAAACTAGAATATTTTGCTTGAAATTGCTATAAAATATGAAGACAAAGAAGAAAAATGCAAATATTATTGAAGATGAATTTAGAAGATAAGATTATGCATTTATGGCTAAAAACAGATCTCTAAAGATACCATCTTAGGATGGATTGTAGATTTGAGTTGTTTTAAATATATGACTATTTTTAAATATACATTTGATAGATATAAAGTCATTCAGCTTTAAATGTAATCTTAATATATAATGACATATTTTAAGCCATTAGAATTGGAATTATT